CTCCATAGCCACCAGCACTTCCATTCGCTCCACCACGAGGCCCACCTCTATCTGAACAAGAAAATTTCATAAGCAATTGGCACTAGAGCAGAACGCTGGGAAAAAAAAAGAAGTTCACGACGATAGGCACTTTTCCCCCTAGTACTGAAAAACAGCCTTTTGCAGTATAGGCATTTCTAACTCGGAAAAAAAAGTTTCGTTCTCAAAGCAGCTATATTTCTTCATGTTTCTCAATGCATAACCCCAAACTATGTGAACACTCCGGACCAAAAAACAAAAAAGAAGCAGTGGTGGTGGTGGCTGTGTAACACAACAAATACTTAGATATACATATACACAAGAGATAGCCCACTTCGTATAATTCTACCTTGAAAGACTCCGCGTGCGCCCGGGCCTCCAGCACCCGGTCTGAAATAACACATTGACCTTTGTAATTGACCTGGCAGATGATGAAATGAAGAACACATATTGAGACGAGAACTGTTGCGCAGCAGCTCCAACACGATAAATAAGACCTCTCCTTTCTTTTTTCACTTTTTTTTTAAAAACTTCCGTACCAGGGGTTTCACAGGGTTTTCTCTTTTTTTCCTTTCAGCATGATGAATTACTACTCAACACAAAAACAAAACTTTTTTTCCCGCTGTTGACGGTTTTTTTTTTCGTTTTAAACAACACCCATTGAACACTATTTGAATCCGGAAAGCCCTCTGAACACTTTGTGGAAAACCGTTTGACTTATACACTCAAAGCATCCCAAGGAAAAAACACTGATTTTTTTTTTCTTTTGGCATATAGGCTTGATTTTTGGTCCCCATGATAATTATCATGTTTGGGGACCAGCGAGAGCGAATCAGCTTTTCATCTGCAATTATTCAGCATCGAGCAATCGTAGCAGTAGCAGTATACTGCTTCTCTCTGTATACCTTGAAATGTTTATTAAAAGCAAGTTCACTTCGTCACTGTATTAATCAAACAAAAATTAGACAAAAAAAATTAGCTAAAAATCGTAATTTTTTTTTTTTTCATGAAAATCGTAATCGTAATTTGATGAAAAACCGTGAAAAATTCGTAGAATCGTGAAAAATTCGAACCTGATGGAACTAACCATAAATTTTGATCCTAACAAATCTCGCTGTTTTTCTTTTCTTTTGAAAGTAAAAACTTTATACCAACAGTTGTGCCGTGCTGACAAACACACCACTTCATGGGTGTGTGTGTGTCTGTCTGTCTGTCTCAGTT